AGCACCGCTAAACAGAGGCCCCTGTAGTCATTCCTTAATCTCTTTTCCAATTGTCTAAATTAACAAGAATCTGGGGTTTTCTAAACCAGTTCAACAAGTGGGCCCCCAAAAGAAAATTTACACTTAGGGCTACTGCTGATACCCTTTCCACAGTTAAATGTATTTTCTTCACTCTTGTGCTACTATTTAAAATAGCTAATCCAGCAGAAAATTGTCCCACTAGAGAAAGTGCTGTGATTTCCAGTGTGAAAGGCCAAGAAGGCACTTTAAGGCGATCAATCTTAAACAGAGCAAAATATGCCGGCACCCGAGAGGGAGAGCGACTGCATCAGGGGCCCGCCATCCACAGTATGCTCCAGGTGGACACAGGAGGGCTGAGTTGAAAGAAAACATGGGGAGAAGGAGGTCAGCATCAAAAAGCACCTAAGCACCTGAAGGAGGAAACAGACAGAACAGGCTCCACCTTGAAAGCAGGACTCCATCTTGGGCTGGACTGTGGACTTAGAGCTATATGCTAGTATTGATGGAAACGACATACCAACTGGAAAACCAGACCGCCTCCCCCCACCCCTGACTCTCCCTCGCCTAAAAGAATACCCTAATTATCTATGTAACCGAATAGAATCATAAATTCTATTATGCTTATTGGGGTATGACCACAGGCCTATTGATAATTGTCCAGTTAACTACCTAGGATTAAGGCATACAAATCACAGGTTAACTTTGATTGTATCTTTCTTTTCCTTTGTTCAGACTAGTTTCAGAGAATTTGGGGAGGTGGGTTTGAGCACGTACACTTAGGGTATATAAGGTTTTCACAAAAACTGGTTGGGGTCCTTGGCTAAGAGGAGACTCTGCCTTGGGCCCGCCGGTGTAACAAACTGCACTCCACTATCTGCATTGTCCTTCTGAGTGAGTTTGTTTCCCGGAACATGTGGCTACAACATTTGGTGCATTGGCCAGGAAATTCCTCATTTGAGGAGACTGATCCCATTTGGGACTACCGAGGCCTTGCAGCTCGAATCTTCTAGAGGGGGGAAGGCGCCTCGCCCTTCTGGAAGCATTCTGCTTCTCAACGCACTGACCTTTCACGTTAGCAGGTAGTGGACGGCAGCAGGGGAACTGAGCGCTCAGGTGAGGAGGAACCCAGCCAGCAGGGTGGAAGAGGGGGGCCTGATCATCCCCTGGGAGGGACTAGAGGGGCACGGACCCACAGGAGCCTGGAATAGGCAGGTGGCAGCGACTGCTCGGTACACAGGTTGACAAGCATGTTAGGGAATTTGTGAATGTCATTTAGGAGGTGGTGTCCACGCTGTTTTGGGGGAAATTATTACCAAGCAATCACCAGGGGATTGTTAGGAGAAAAAACTTGGTCTTTGGGCGCTCGTATTCTGCAGGTATCCCACCTGCTGTGAAATTCTTGACCCCCCTCAGAATTGTCAGGCTAGAAGGAGGGGGATACAAAAGTGAGTACGAATTGGCTTTTCCAGAGACTGCCAGGGACGTGGGATATTTAACCCATCTGTGTTTTCATCCGCACCTGATCAAGCCCACTGATGCAGAATGGCAAGTTAAATATTTCACTGAGTGGAAATTTCAGAAGTACGAGTACTGAGAACTTCATAGACAGATTGAAAAGTAGAAGAAGGTCCGAGAAGGCAAGCAAGATGGGAGGAAGTGAATCTAAGGCAGCTGTATTGGAATGCATGACCAAAAATTTAAAGAAGGGATTTGGAGGAGACTATGGGTACAGATGACGCCTAACCGCCTCCACACACTCTGTGAGGTCGAGTGGCCCCCTGTGGGAGCAGCATGGCCAGCAGAGAACACCATGAGCTTAAAAATAGTGGAAGCGTCTACACGGTAGTCACAGGAGAGCCAGGACACCCGGATCAGTACCCATATATTGCCTCATGGCTAGGGTTAGCTCAAGGCCCTCCTACTTGGACAAGGTTCTGTATCCAGAAGAGAAAGGGAAAAATAATAATGGCACAAGAATTGACTGATGATAAAAAAGGAGATTCTGCAGGATTTGGATGGGGATGACTTGAACCCTCCCCCATACTGGATAATGACGTGCCCGTCTCCAAGTGCTCCATCAGGACCGGGGGCCGCCTTAATGCCTGATCCAGGGCGAGGTGAAGTTCCTGCAGCAGCCGCTGCTCCTCTGGCAGCTCTCCCAGAGATTGCAGAGCCGCCGTGTTAGCAGGCTCTGATCCCAGCGATGGAGACCTCTGGTCAACGCCCCCAGAATTCCACCTCAGCCAGACCTCCTAGATTGTAGCCCCCTCTCCCGGTGAGTACTGATGGGAAGGGGGAAGAAAACACAGGAATTAGACAGAGGCTGCGCTCCGCCAAGGAACAGGGGGAAAGAACCCCACTACAGATGCCCCTCAGAGAGCTACAACAGCCTCCGGTTCAGGAAGCACGTGGGCATTACCATCAGCCCCCTGTAGCCTATTATTACCAGCCATTTTCCTCTACGGATGTATTAAACTGGCAGAGACACACGCCTCTGTACTCGGGGGAGCCACAAGCCATGATTAGGCTAATGGAGACTATTTTTCAAACCCACCGCCCTACGTGGGATGACACAATCCAACTACTTGTCTCCCTTCTCAGCCCTGAAGAAACACACAGGATCCTAACTGAGGCCAGAAAATGGTTCAGAGAGCTGGCACCTGGGGGCACTGCAAAGCCGCGGCGGGGGCAGAGCTAGCCGCCCCCGATGAGGGCCGGACTGGGACTGTGACACAGCGGAAGGGCGGGGCCACCTGGAGAGATGTCGGCGGCTACTTTACAGGGTCTCCAGGGGGGGCCTGAGAACCTCTGAGTAGGGCAAAGCCCTCCGAAGTGATTCAAAGGGAAAGCGAATCACCCTCTGAGTTCTAGGAAAGACTGTGCGAGGCCTGTAGACTTTATACGCCAATAGATCCAGAGCCTGCTGGGTCTCAGATGGTGACAAATGCAGCCTTTGTATCTCAAGCCTACCCTGAAAACATCAGATGGGGGGACTCCAAGTGACTCATGAGTTTTTATACTTCCCTGAATGCCCAGTACCTTTGTTGGGAAGAGATTTGCTGTCTAAATTGGGGGCACAAGTGATCTTCCCCCCACGAAAGAGCCACTCTTCAAGTGGGCTCAACCACCTATTTACTCTTCCTCTCAGTAACCTCTCAAGAGGAATGTGGAGGTTGCATGATCTCCCGGAAGGGAAACCAGACGGGCTAAACAGTTGAGAGAAGAGAGTTAACTCAACAATTCCCTGAGGTCCAGGCTGAAGACACTCCCCCCCTAGGTTGCAAAACTAGTCCCAGTGGTAATAGAACTCAAACCCAGTAGGATCACGTCAGCACACGCCTTGGGCCTACCAGAACTTGCTAAGCTGTTTACTCTTTACGTGACTGAAAAGGACAAGTTGGCTATGGGAGTGTTGTCACAGACTCTGGGGACATGGGACAGATGCGTGGCTTTTCTCCCTAAACCGTTGGACAATGTCGCCACTGGGTGGCCACGATGCTTACAGGCAATTGCTGCAGTTGCCTTACTGGTTCGGGAGGCAACCAAGCTGACTTTGGGCCAAGGTTTGATCATGAACGTCCGGTCAACACTCTCCTGTGAGGGGTCCCATAAATGGCTGTTGACATCCCATATTACTCAGTACCAGGGACTGTTATGTGAGAACCCCATGTTACTATTGAACCTTGTCAGGCCCTGAATCCGGCCACTCTCTTTCCTGTGGGAGAAGGTGGGCCCTCACATGATTGCAAGGAAATATGCCAGCAGACCTGACTTGAGAGGCCAGCCCAAATGGCACCAGCCTGGTGAAACAAGGACAACGACTGTCGGGATATGCAGTAGTCGTGGAAGAAACCATCGTTGAGGCTAGCTCTCTGCCTTCACACTGGTCCGCTCAACGGGCTGAACTCTATGCTCTAATCCGAGCCCTCCAGCTGTCAAAAAGTAAGAAGACAAACATTTACACAGACTCCAGGCATGCTTCTGCCACAATACATGTACACGGGGCTCTGTGTAAGGAGAGAGGCCTTTGACAGCTAGTGAAAAAGATATTAAACATAAGGAAGAAATTAAACCTATTAGATGCTGCCTGGGAACCAGAAAGGGTTGCAGTCATACACTGTTGAGGACATCAAAAAGAGGATACCCCCCGGGCTCGGGGAAACAGACTGGTAGATAAGGCCACTAAACAAGCAGCCGAGGGCTTGGAGTGACAAGTGAAGCCCCTATTAAAGCTCTCGTATTGGTGGAGCTGCCTGAGCTAACGCTGGACTCTCCAAAATACACTGAAGCCCAAAACCACCTAGCCAAAGCAGAAGGGGCCATCGAGACTGAAAAGGGGTGGTGGGGATTGCCAAGTGGCAAGTTATTGGTACCAGAGGAGCTGGCACCCACTCTGGTAAGCCAAACACACCAAGCGACCCACCATGATAACCTGGAAGAGCTAATTCGAAGATGTCTCTTGGTTCCCCGCCTCTCTTCCCTATGCAGGACAGAACCTCAGGACTCACTGCCTGCTCCCAGGCCAGTGCTGCCTCCCAGCACAGACAGAAACCTCCGGGGGTTCAGCTACAAAGCACGCTGCCCTTTGGACACCTGGAAGTGGACTTCACTGAAATGAAACCTCACCGACACTACCGTTACCTGCTGGTCATGGTATGTACGTTCTCAGGATGGGTAGAAGGTTTTCCGCCCTGGACTGAAAGAGCATCAGAAATAGCCTGGTGCCGGCTTAGGGAGATAGTTCCCAGATTTGGGTTTTCTACCTGCATCGGATTGGACAGTGGCCCAGCTTTCGTAGCTGATTTAGTACAACAAGTAAGCAAAACTTTAAACATCGAGTGGTAATTACATACAGCATACAGGCCCCAGAGTTCTGGGATGGTGGAAGGACCCAAGTGGACACTTAAAGAGACTCTCCAAGGGGATCACAGAGACTGACTGCTCCTGGGGGGACCTGTTTCCGACGGCTCTGCTCGGACTCAGGATGACCCCACGGCCCCAAGGCTATTCTCCGTACGAAACTGTGTATGGGGGGCCCCCTCCCATAATAAAACAGGCGTCAACAAATCTGCCTCAGGTAAGGGGAGGTGAGATTTCACTGCAGATGGAACAGCTGGGTAAGGTAATAAATCAGTAACTAAGTTTGTACAAGAAAGGGTGCCGTTCCCCCAGGGGAACAGATTCACGACTGTGTGACCGGGGATTTGTGTCAAGGACTGGAAACACGACTCCTTGGCCCCACATTGGAAGGGTCCATATACTGTTGTTCTAACCACCCCTGCGACAGTTAAAGTTGCAGGTGTCACTCCCTGGATCCACATGAGGATGAAGAGAACATACCACGCAGACCCAGAAAGCGCTGAGTGGGCTGCGCAGAGGGACCCCACTGACCCTTGAGAGACTAAGATCATCCTTAAGAAGAAGAAGGAGAAGAAGATCCGGGATGAGCCCCTTCAGGATGAAGCTGCATAATCACCTCCTGCTGCTTGGCCTCATCAACGTGATTTTGAAATAAACCTCCGTTTCAACTCAGGACAATGTTTCCATCTCATGGGCACATTCCTACGCGGACTTCCACAACACCTCCAACTGCTGGGTACGTGGGGCTATGCCTCTGTCTGTGATGGATGGACTTCCTTGGTTTCACTGCTCTGCCAAGGAGATTTTAAACCTGCTTTTTTCTGGGACAACAAAAATAGACTTTCCTTTCTCTTGTCAATCATAATCTCTCCCTGCTCTCTTGGTGTAAGCCAGACCTACAGTCAATAGACTCAGATCACGGGGTTACATCTGAGGTAAACATCAATTTCATAGGAGTAACAAAAGCCTATACCTCATATTTAAAGAACAAAAAGGAAAAAAGCTCCCTGACTAGCAAGGGAGGACAGGCCTCTAGGTATGTTGAACAATTCTACCAAGTCTGAGATGAATATTTCTGCATGACCCCAGAAAAGGGTCAATCAATTATTCCCGCCTCTATATGCTGGGAACTAAAGGAAACAAAGGGTAGGGTTTGGTGACCTCTGTTAGAACTAAAAGAACTAAAATATATGGGGTACCTACCCCCCAAACAATGTAAATGAACATTCAAGGTCACATACCACCCCAACCAGTCCATCCATTGGCCAGGCTCTGATTGGAAATATAACCCTGGAATCCATTGGATGGCACCCAATGGAACGCAATGGCTTTGCGGGCCTAACCTTTGGCCTTGGTTACCAAATGACTGGGCAGGCCGCTGCACACTGGGATTCACTTTTGCCCATGGCAGCATAAAGCCTAACCTACCACAAGCCCTAGTAAATCTACCTTATTTATATGCTAGGTGGACAAGGTCTGTGTTTCAATGGTATGAGTATATTGCTGCCTTATTTGTACCTTCTATAGGGACAACTGATATTATGATTAAAGTAGAGGCCTTGACTAGTTTCACAAAACAAGCCCTCCTAGATGGTGCTAAAGCCATCCAAGCCTTAAATGAAGAATAAATCCAAATGAGAAAAGTGGTTATTCAAAATAACATGGCTTTGGACATGCTCACAGCTGCTCAAGGAGGGACCTGTGCTATAATTAAGGTTGAATGTTGTGGCAAGGTATCAGCTGCTTTAGATGACATGAAAAACCAGGTAAAAGCAATGTCAAATGAAAAGATTCCTTTCTGGACTTCGGTCCTATCCTGGGTGAGGGGTGATTGGTGGAAAACTATATTTACCATTGTTACAGTTGCCTTGATAGTTCTGCTTTGTGGACCCTGCATTTTATAATGTATTATTAACTTTGTAACCCAAAGGTTGGTGTCGTTCTCCCAAATTGGCGGTCAGAGAGCCAGGGTGCAATATATCCCTATGAGTGATGCTCATACTATGAGTCAAGAGCATCAAGAGTGGGAAATAAAGGAGGAAACAGACAGAACAGGCTCCACCTTGAAAGCAGGACTCCATCTTGGGCTGGACTATGGACATTGAGCTATATGCCAGTATCTATGGAAACGACATACCAACTGGAAAACCAGGACCCAACCCCCACCCCCACCCCCGCCATGGAAGAGCCCCAGAGCTTGTACCTAGATTCTCTGTTGCCTAAAAGAACAGCCTAATTATCTGTGTAATCGAACAGAATCATAAATTCTATTATGCTTATTGGGGTATAACCACAGGCCTATTGATAATTGTCCACTGTTAACTACCTAGGCTTAAAACCTACAAATCACAGGTTAACTTTGATTGTATCTTTCTTTTCCTTTGTTAAGACTAGTTTCAAAGAATTTGGGGAGGTGGCTTTCAGCATATATATACACTTAAGGTATATAAGGTTTTCACAAAAACTGGTCGGGGTCCTTGGCTAAGAGGAGACTCTGTCTTGGGCCCGCCGGTGTAATAAACTGCACTCCACTATCTGCACTGTCTTTCTGAGTAAGTTTGTTTCCTGGAATTCGTGGCTACAACACACCAACTTGATACCAAATAGAACGTCAAAATAATATTTCTGAGATGAAAGACAGAATTTTAGGTTGTCAGAGCCAACTTTCCTAACTTTAATTTCTTTCTGCGTTCGCAGCTCTACAGGCACATTGGAATCACTTGGGGAGCTTTAAGCTTTAAAGCTGATGTCTGGTCCCATGTTAGAGCAATTAAATCAGGCTATCTTAGGGAAAGTGAGCTTTAAACAACTCTCCAGATTACTTAAGAAAAAAAAAAACTAAGATCATGGCATCTGGTCCCATCATTTCATGGCAGATAGAAATGGGAAAAGTGGAAGCAGTGACAGATTTTCTTTTCTTGGGCCCCAAATCACTGTGGATGGTGACTGCATCCATGAAATTAAAAGACACTTGCTCCTTGGAAGGAAAGCTATGACAAACCTAGACAGTGTATTAAAAAGCAGAGACATTACTTTGCCAATAAATGTCTGTATAGTCAAAGCTATGTTTTTTCCAGTAGTCATGTATGGATACGAGAGTTTGATCATAAAGAAGGCTGAGAACCAAAGAACTGATGTTTTTGAACAGTGGTGCTGGAGAAGACTCTTGAGAGTCCCTTGGACTGCAAGGAGATCAAACAGTCAATCCTGAGGGAAATCAACCCTGAACATTCATTGGAAGGACTGATGCTGAAGCTGAAGCTCCAACACTTTGGCCACCTATCTGATTCGAAGAGCCAACTCACTGGAAAAGACCCTGATGCTGGGAAAGACTGAGGGCAAGAGGAGAAGAGGACAACAGAGGATGAGATGATTGGATGGCATCACCGACTCAACGGACATGAGTTTGAGCAAACTCTGGGAGCTAGGACAGAGGAGCCTATCGTGCTGCAGTCCATGGCATCGCAAAGAGTTGGACATGACTTAGTGGCTAAATAACAACAACAACCAGACGATTCTAATGTGACAGGAGAATTGAGATCCTCAGGACTCCACCAGCCTGCCTTGATCAAACAACCACACTTGGAACACCCCCACTGATGATGAACTCACTATTTTCCAGGGAAACCCATTCCAGGTTGAGACAGCTCTGATTTTTCAGAGTCTTCCCTATGTTGAAGTTAAACCTGCCTTTTGGACCATCCCTCAGTTTGGCCTAGCTCTGCCCACAGCACCATGGAAATCCACCTAATACATGTATCAAATTCCAGAATGACACAAAGCTGGAGACCCTCTTTGATAGCACAATTGACAGGCTGAGAGCAAATTTAATGAAATGAAATTCAACAGGCAACCTCTCTTCATGGGGCTGAAAAAGTATGACACAAAGAAGGGAAGGGAAAGAAACATTGCTGGCAGTAGAAGTTACTTGATAGATTCTGGGGTAGGGATGGAGGGCTGGTGGGGACTCCACCTGAGCCATCAGGGTGATGCGGCTTATGCTCTCCCAGGCTGCATTCACAGACATGAGATCTCCAGAAGGGAGATACACTTGAAGGAGAAAACTAAGGTGACCACATTTAGATAGAGTGTGATAGAGTGAGGGAGTGCAGTAGAGAAAACCAGAGAAGAAAGAACCCAATGGTGAAAGATTTTTCAATGTTAAATGAAGAACTGTTAGGGGGAAAGCCGACGGAAAAGACAATACTCAAATAAGGACCAGGAAACTAGCATTTGAGGATATACTCTGTGCCGGGTGCCCTACATACATCACTTCAGATAATCATCAAGACAGTCTCTGAAGTCACCTAATTGGCGGGAAGATGTTTACAGGGCCTCAAGGGATAACACTAGGAAGAAGGGGAGGGTTCAAAGCTTTAAAAAGACAGATACCTTCAATTATGTTGCTTTCCTTTTCTTTTTGGGTCTCCTTCAAGAAGAAGGTGATGCCATGCTTCAGCTGGTGGGGCTCAGTTCATTGGTCCACAGACTCCTCTCTTATTTATTCACTTACTCCTTTGTTTATTCACATGTATATTTTAAGTCCCCATGGCCCACCAGCATTTCTCCCCTTCTTTATAAACAACGTATACTCTTTTATCTGCAAACGTTCTTGTAAAATTTTGCATTTATTCTGTAAATTTTCTTTTCCTATACGTCACCATTTTCCACTAGAGATTGTACCTTTTTCATGTTAATTTGCAGTAGTTTTCAGACATCAGTCCTTTGTTGGCATTAGAACTTTATTCATAGTCTGTTAACATTCTAATCTTTGTAATAACATTGCTCAGAGGTAAACAAAATCAACTTTCCTTTTTAAAGATTTCACATTTGAGCTTTTCGTTAATAAATCCCCACCTTAAGATCACAAAGAAATTCTACATTTTCTTCTAATAATTGTACAGTTTAAACTTTTACATTTAGATCTTTTAGTCATCTGGAATCTGCCTTTGTATATGATGTTTGACAAGATCAACCTTATTCTTCTCTGTGTAATGAGCCTGTTCATCCAGTAGTGTCTAATATACAATCTTTCCTTTCCCCATCGACATGTGGTACCACCTTTACAATATATTAACTTCCAATCAATACATGAATCTGTTGAACTCTCTATTCTGTTCCACTGATCAATTTGCCTGCCCTTGTACCAATATCGCACTGTTTTCATTACTATGGCTTGGTAGCCTGTCTCAGTATCTGCCTGGAAATGTTATATTCTGTTTTCTTCTGCAAGCTTGGCTTATTATGAAAAAGTTCTGGAGAACTGCTGTATAACATTCTGCTTATAGGTAGCATTATTGTACTGTACATTTGTCAGGAGCAACAATCTGATGTGTTTACTACAATTTTTAAAAAGACATTGGCTTACTATTTGTGCACTTTTATTATTCTGTATAAATTTTCAAATTAAGTTCAGTTGTTTAGTCATGTCCGACACTTTGCAACCCCATGGACTGCAGCACACAAGGCTTCCCTGTCCGTCACCAACTCCTGGAGCTTGCTTAAACTCATGTCCATTGAGTCGGGGATGCCATCCAACCATCTCATCCTC